CTGTTTTCTTTCTTCTTTGTCTCGATACACAACATGAGGCCTGTTCCAGGAGAGAGGGGGCCAAAGTTTTTGCGAGATCTTAAAAAACTTTCTGGAGGTCTTGCAAAAACATATCAATTGTTTTTTTGGATGGATGGATGGATAGATACCCCAACCAAAATTACAGTATGCACACTAACTGTCCCACTATGCTTGGCTCTCTTCAAGTTCAATTCAACATTTTTAAGCCTTCTTCATTTGAGTTTGAATTTGTCTCTCTAGCGCTAATTCTTTGAGATTTCTTGTAAAATGTGTTTTTCTCATCATATTTACTAGAACTTTGACCAACCAGCATCATCTCGACCCAACCTCCTATATATATATAGGACGGTAAAATAATGGAAAAACCGTTACTGCTGCATTATTTTAATCTAGTTTATTTTTTGATTTGTATGCGTTTTATTGGAAAATCCTGGCTTTAACAGTCTTTTATAAAATAATTTCACAATCAGGGTAGTCACAAGTAGTTGACTACTGTTCTTTTAGATGAAGAAATGAACTATATGACCCCAAATGTGAAGCAGTATCTTATCAAAAGCATATATTATTTAATTTAGTTTGAATTAAGCAGCTTTAACAGTCTCAAAAAGATAATTCTGCTTTGAAATGTGAACATTTTAAGATGCAATCCAATAATTATGCATAAATACATAAAAACAAGCACCAAGACATAACTACACCATAAATCTTAATAATTTTATTGTCTTTGTTCTCATGATTTTACAAATATGATACTTCTGCAATTCAACTTTAACTGTGCAACACAATGGCATTATGGACTGTTGAACTCGACATCCCGAGGGACGCCTGTGACTCCAGGGGCTGTGAATCCTGCAGACCCAGGGATTTTCATTTGGAGCGTTAGAAAATAAAAATAAAAACAAGAGTCAAGCTTTTGCAGTTGATCTTGAGCATTAGCATATATCATCATTCATTCATTCGTCTCCCTCCCTCACTCCCTCCCGCCTGTTGGGGTTCATTGTCCGCAGGATTCACGAGGCCCTTCCCTCCGTCCTCCCCCACGGGTCAGAGATGACTCCTCGGAGGCGGGCTTGAAGTAAGGTTGTACAGTCTCTTTGGATGAGGCTGGCGGTACCGGGTCAGAGCTGCAGGGCTGCTTGTCTTTTTGAGAATGGGTGATCTTGCCACACAGGTTTTTGGGACACCAGTACAGATAAGAACAATGGCATGCAAGACTCACATACAGACCCACTTGTTATTATTTCTTTTTTTTTTTTAATAGAAAATAAAGATTCTGACATAAGTACAAGCACTGAGCCCTCGCAAACACCCAACATCCAAGCGTATTGGAAACAGTACGGAGGACCGACGATGCCTAAACTGACGCCGTTAAGAATTATCGGGGGCTTGCGACGGTTATAACCATTTCAACACAACAGCTGGCTTCTTTTCATATTCAATAAGTCCTGTTTTTGAGGACATAATACATCTCACATTTATATTATTTCTTCTTCTACACCTTTTTACTACAAATGTATGTGCTTTTGATTTAAAATAACTTGGGAAAACGGATGGAGAAAAAAAAAATATGAGAGAATAAAGTTTTGTATTTCAACGACAATCCAACCCCACTCCGGCCAATTTATTGCAAATGAAGTGATAACCTCTGAACAGCAACACACACTTCAATATGGCACAAGCATCTTAGATAAATGCGTCGTCGTTGTAGGTGAATATCAAAAACCAAACCACACCATATCTAAAAGTATTAAGACATTAATCTTCAGAAGAGCAGAAGAGAAAAGTTTTTTTTCCCCTTGTTGAAACATGCAGTCTGCCGCTCTGCAAGCAAAACTTGATTCTGGACCCCTTCGTGTGGAGTGCATATGATCACTGCAAACGATTAGTGCGCCGGCTGAGCTAAAATATTTCTAGTGTTCATGACAGGAGCTGCAGAGCAAGACTTCATAATCCAGGTCATTGTGCAGCTGACAAGCTCTTGCTCTCCTCTTTCTTTGTGGGGTGGACCCGAAGACTGGCCAGAAAAGTGAAGAATGTAGTGACTAAACTCGCCCCCTTGAGTTAAACCTCGGACTTGCATGGTGCAAAACATTTCAGGTAATTAAATAAACTTTGAAAAAAAGGAGAATGGGGATTCAAAGCACTTTCGGGGTTTTCCGTTTGCCTTCAGACGTTTCACTGACCCACTTTCATCTTGCTTAGTGTGTCACCTTAAGACATTTGATGTGCTTATCTTAGTAAATGTCAGCTTTGGCACACTCCTTGCTGAGGTACCAAACTAAAACTTGTCAAGTACAGAAACTACTACCATTTTCCCCCTTCGAGGATATTGTTGTTGAATCATACTT